CGGCTGACATGAATCCCCCTCATTAGTGCAGCACAGTTTCCCCTTAAGAGGTCTATGCAATTATTGTAGGTAAACAGGCTGGGACCCTCCGGAAGGGGTAGGACCCATTCATTTCTCCTCATCCTATCTGATATCTAAGACTGACTCACACATGCTCCTTGCTGGTTCATCATCTTGACTTCCTTTTCTTTACAGATCTATGCCTAATTGATGGGCTGGTCGTATCCTGCTCTAACACGTGAGCGGACACAGCATCATGGGACTGCAGGCGCACCACGCAAACAGACAACAACAGAGGCCTCAGAATACCACGGGGAACAAGCGATACTTCAGTAAATATGATGACACCTCCGAAAGGAAGGAAGCAATGCCAGCCATGGGAGCCAGCTGTAATTGAATGATCCTGCAGGGCAGACTCTGGCAGTCACAGAAGATGATACTTCAGAGCAAACATCATCAAGATAAGGAAGTCATTTTTTTCTTTTTCTCAAAAAGATCAAGCCACCCTCTTATCTTGTAGGTAATTTCCTGCGGCCCGTATTACAGGAATTAATTCCCTTGTCCATTCTTCTCAATACAGACCTGTATTTTCAGACCAAAGTAGTGCAAGATAGTTGCCTTCAGAGTCTGCTCTCCACTAAACAGGGGCTGCTCCTGCCTATTAGATAAGAAAACAAATTGCCAGATTTTCAGATATGGCGGCATTCAGCTCCTATTGAGAACAAGAGATGTGTCTGCTCTCCCATTGAGAAATAGGGAGGTTTCCACCCTCTCTTCACGCCTCCCTTCTTTTTTCCCTCCCCAACACATTACGTCTCTGCCAAGAACAGCAGCAAATATCTTCATCTTCAACTACGCTGCAGGCAATGGAGATTTCCTCGTGCACTTGAGAAGAACCAAGGCTTCTGGAAAGTTTTTCTTTCCAGATTTGGCCACTGTAAAGGTATGATCATTTTAGCGGGCGCTGGGATTCTTGGGTCCTCATTCTGCCAGATTCTGAGTTGCTGCAAAAGCTTGACATGAATCATATCATGCCTTTATGTTTGCGTTTGCTCATCTCATGGCTGCTGCATGGTGTAACACAGGCCCATTAAGCACTTTGTGAGAAATAGTGACAGCTTTTAGCGCGGTAGTGGTCTCTTCCATGGAAGCATTTACAAATACCAACCTTAATCCACAGATATGTCAGTACTCTTGAAGTCAGGATAACATCACCCCTATTAGACAGAAGAAGATACTGAGGAACAGAGAGGTTCAGAGCTGTTATATCAAAAAATGTTAAAGGTTAGGCTCTTGTCCACATATTTAGGCATCTCAGTGAGGAGTCTCACTTTCAGAGACCTATAGGAGCATACATGTTCCTGATCTAAACTGCCAAAGGAAGGAAACAAGGGCCTTAGTGTCCCAGTATATGGGGCCTGGGAGCATCCCTCTCCATTGAGGTGACATTCACTTGAGGAGCCAAAAATCATCTCTGGTGTAAAGCCAGAAACTCAGGGGTAAAGCAACGGTCTGGTCCAATTCCCACTGCCATCCAAGGACAGACTCTCATTGACGGCAGCCAGAACTGGATCAGGCCCCAGACACACTGAGGTGTGATGGCTCCGGCCAGCAGAATTTGCCCAGTGAGTGCCAAGGGAAGCATAAGGCATTCTGATTTCAGCTGAGCCCGTCTGGTGTCAGCGAGTCCATCAGATCCATCCTTCTAGCATACGTGACAGCCTGACAGCTGCCAAATACCTCCCTCAGACACCTTTCAGACAGCTCCTGTTTATTTTTAGGGCTGCTCTTTCCAGTCAAGGCTCAGATGCATATCGTAAAATAGAAAGTGGGGGGATGGTGGCAGGAGGAAAACACACAGCTATGATTTTTATTATTTTTATTTTTTTGCCTGTGACACGGTTGCGAATTTTCTCAAGTACCTCCATCCCCTATCAGCCCGTGCTGGGATCCTTCATTTTACAGAAGGAGATGATATTCTAGCCTATGAAAGCCATGAGAAGGAGAAGCATTGCAGTGAAGTCAGCTAATGAAATATTGAAGTACTGAAGCCCTCACTAGAACACATGAATGTCTAATGCCAGTTCCAATTAATTTTGAATTTTTCATTAAACCATTATTAAAAGCAAGAGGACAGCAGAAATAAGGGAAATTGACTTGGGCAGTATATTAAGTACCTTAGTTTTGCCGGAGGATGTTTTATTATCTGTCCAAAGCAATTATTTCACAAGCTCCTGATGATTTGTGGGCTAAACAGAGGTACAGGATAGAGTTTGAGATGGTCTTCCTCAAAGTTATTTTAATCCCGTTCTCTTACGCTGCCTCGCAGGCTACTTGAGCGATGTCTCTGGCATGTCATATCTAACTGGAGGACCAGACATGGAGTTCTGAGACTCTGCGATAATGCATCACTCCAGCATTATTCACAAGTCAAAGAAAAACTTACTCACTTAAGCTTCTCCCCTACACTGGGGCAAACAGAAGACATGTAAACATTTAGAAAAACATTCATTAGGAAAGCCAGAAAAGCAATTTAAAACCCAGGTGGGCTATGATTTTTTCTTTTTTTTTTTAAGGAACAAAGCAACAGCATTTATAAAATGTTGCCTCCTCCTCCTCTGCTCTCAAAGCTTCCCTTATCCCATTGACTAGAGCAAACACCTGCATAAATTAGTTGCTTCATTAAGATGCCTCAAGTTGGGTGAGATGATCCCAGGCCTTATAATGGGTTCTTATAATGCCAGAATAGATAGAGACACTTATTTTTTAGCATTTTGGTAAAAACGGCTCTGATTTGCTGCTTGATATGCTGTTATCTTTATTGCAGAAGAGGGTAGAGGTGAATTGGGATGTTGCTCTATCAGGAAATAAAGGTTTCTTCTTTTCTTGGTAGAGATCAAAGGGAAATTACAACAGCTAGGGAAAACCTGGCCCTGGTTCCCCAGGAAGAGTCTACAAGTCTTTGGGGAAACCAATCTGTCAGTGCTGACCTTTCAGGCAAGGAAGATATTTGTTTGGTTCCTGAAGCTCTCTGATCCCAGGACTTACAGCTAATAATGCTGAACGCTAAGAATTTTCCTCTGATGTTTGTCTGGGGGTGAATTCATGGCTGGGAGCAAACAGGTAGCAAGGGATGACACATGAGAGATGATTGCCCTTGCCTGGTTGACCAAGCTGTGCCTGCAGCTCTACCTCACTGAGACCCAAAGAGGGGCTGCAGTGAGGCTTTGTGCTAGACTGCTGGCAGGCAGAGTCCCTATCCCACGATGGCCCTCCCACTCCCTTACCGACAGTGCCAGGCGCACGGGGCACAGAGCAGGGGGGAGGCTGCCGGGTGCCAGGGAGCATGGGGCTGAGAAAGGTGCACTCACAGGGAGTAAATAGCTGCACAGGAGAAATCGTGAGGTTTGACAGTGATAACAAGGTTAGAAATCTCCAGTCCAAAATGCAGCCTGCCACCTAATTCTTCCAGTGCCATGGCTCTCTCAGGCAATGGGGCAGCTTAAGTTGCTAGTATTTTTTTTACTGAAGTACCCAGAGGCCCCAGCTAGAGTTGTACCAGTATGTGCCAAGTGCTTTACAGATAAGCAGGGTGAGGAGGGTCTTTTCTATCACCCGCTGTTTTCCTCCCCCTGAGATGTGCTTGGCTATAAAATGACTGGGCTCACTTTATATGTTGAGTTACAGCTACAGCAAATGAACAAAGGGCTAATAAAGGATTAATAAATGCTTTGAAAAATTGGTAATTAAATGCAACAGCTTTTAAAAGTCCAACGGATAAGCACAAAGCATGTAAGCCCAAGTGATAACACTTTCTCCTGATATAACTTGTCTACAGCACACTGCTCACATCAGCAGCAGTGCTCAGAAATACTATTTGCTTCGTGGGCAGCAGGAATAAAGAGAGCCTTTCTATGAAAAGAGGAGCACTTCTTCTCCTGGGGATAAGGGCAAATTCCTCATTGTCTAGACCATTTAAAATCTAGGAAAGCTGGGAGGTGCGCATGGTGGCAGATAGGGGAGGTGTGAGTGACAAGGGACAGTGACAATCTCTGCATGGTCCCTGGCATCTGACCGCCAAGCTGTAGGGTCCTGTGTTCCCAGGCTAAATAGTCTTAGTGCTCCACTGCATTCGCAGCCACAGTTTCCCATCCCTGATTGGTCCAGGGGGAAATGTCCCTGTCACCCTGCCCTGCTCCAGGCAGCAGTTAGGAGCCCCCAACCTGCTGCTGCAGCCCCAAAACAAGCTTTAAAAAATAGATGTCACCAAAAAAAAGGGAGGGGGGTGATCCTGGTTTCATTCTCTCTGGTTCCATGGAGGATTTCTGCCACTGGCACTGCTGAAGTTACCAAGCCAGACAGATCCTGATGCAATACCAGAGTCACACTCCAAAAGGGCCCACAACTTCCCCAGCTAGCTGCCCAGCATCAATACAGCATTACTGGCAGCCGGTGGATACTCTTTTGCATGGGATTGAACTTAAAAACAGGCTCAAAAAAAAAAGCCATGGATATTCTGCCTTGAAGGTGCAAACTTGCCTAGTTTCAGCACACAAACAAACCTGCAAGTTTTCTGAGCAAAAGTTAGATGCGAGTTGGTGACTTTTCTGGTGGAAAGGGAAATGGGAAGGAAAAAAAAAACCAGTAACACATATGTTAAATGAACCAGTCAAGTGCAGACAATGGAAAAGCTGAAAAATGGCTATGGGGGAAAGTATTCTGCAGTGGTAGTTATTTGTCGCTGCAGTTCTTTATAACTCCCCAGATGGGAGATTCATGACCCTAGGAAGGAGTCTGTATCCTCCGGGGTTTGGCCTGAGGCAGCCCATGACTCACTTGCCTGCCAGTTTTGGCAATAAGCTGAGAAGCAAGCAAAATAGCAAAATGTCTTATGGAAACAGCAAAACAAGAGACAAAAGAATTAATCGCTGGAAGAGTGAAAAATAAACCTCTGTGCACATGGCGGGGGTGAGGGAGGGGAGGCAGATGGAAAGAGAGAGCTCATGCCACAGAGGACTCGCGGAGATGGCATCCCAGGCAGCCAGCTCCATTTGTTTGCAGGCAAAACAAATCCAGGATGCCTCAGTCTTAAAAGGTGAGGTAGGCAGAAATAGAAGATTTGAGGCTTTACCAGCCATTCCAGCAGCAGCAAGATGGTTTTCCAGAGGCTCAAGAAGGAAGAGGATCTGTGGATCTGCATTGCCATCTAATGGCAAGGAAGAGCTTAAGGCTTTCAGTGTGGTCCAGAAATGGGCTTTAATAGCAAAGTAAGGGAAGAGAGGACAGCCCATATGGGTGAGTGTGTTTTGCTTTAAAGGCAAATCCTCTGCGACAGAGTGGGTTTGCCCAGCGAAGGCAATACAGCCAGCCGAGAGAAGGGAAGGACAACCAGAGGCTTGGGGTAGAGGCTGCTGATTCCTCCTCTCCTGGCATCCTCGCAGAAGGTCTGTCCTTTTGGTCACACCTAGCCCAGTACCCTGTTTCCATTAGTGGTGACTAATGGATACTTAATGAGAAAGTAGGAGAAAGAGGGCATTACAGACTGTTACTGCCCTGGTATACCCTTCATGTGGGGAGAGAGCCCTGCAGGGAGGCTGACAAAGAAAAGAAATTCAATGAGATGTGAGGTTTTTTGGATTTTGTCATTTTTAACTGAACATTTAAAAGGACACACCACGAAGAGAAAAGTTTGATGTTCGTTCTAGCGCTACCTTTGTTACAGTGTGCAGCCAATGATGTACCATATTATCTAGATTCTAGAAGAGAAACTTTGCAAGAGAGAGTTGACTGTTCAGAGATAAATACATTAAGAAACCAAAGGAAATTGGTCAAGGATTGTCAGCAGCTTCTTTGACACATTCCTAGCCTTGACTCATGCAGCTTTGCAGATGAGGAGGAGTTGGAGCTCGTTCAGTGTGAAATAGAGGAAAGGGATCTTTTATGACCAGGAGTTTGGAACAGTGCAGAAGCTGGGTGAGAAAATGGGGATGTAAAGTGTCTGCTCTTCCCAGATAGTGAAATGGGATGCGGTGCTGGTCCCACCTAATCCAAGACAAAAACTTCTAGCGGGGATTCAGAGAAGGGAAAAATTTGAGGACTGCTAGACTTCAGGGAGCAGCACTGAAAAGGCCTCCAAGTCTGTTAAAATGCCTACGGCAACACGTTTCTCATGCTGCGTGCTGCCTAAGAAATGAGCACACTCGTGAACAATCCGGCTTCATTCCTTTCTGATACCTGCTCTTATTTGCACACACAAGCTTGTCAAGCCTTGCTAGGCCCAAACAATCCCTCTGAAAGGAAAGGAATAAACAAAGGTACGCGTAGAACCTATAAAGCACCTTCCTCCCCCAAAAATAAATGCTTTGGAGGGCTCCTTTCTTCTCTCAGAGACTTGCTGGCTTGCTGCTTCCCAAGCTAATGAAAGCCGGCGGCTGTGGGAATGACAGGATTATCGTTACCGAGGGACCAGAGTGAATCGTTCGGGCATTTCTCTTTGGTTTGTGAAGCAGGGAGGGGAACAAGGGAATGTACCTGGTCTAAGGGCTACATGGGATGACATGTTCCTTGATGTTCCTTTCTAGAAGCAGCTCTCAGTCACACTACAGAGGTGATTAGAAAATGATCTTCCTGCTGTAAAAGTACAAAGGAAAAAGAGTCTTATTCAGCGCTTCAGCCCCAATTCTGAGCCTGCCCAAGCCTGAGGCAGAGAGGGGCTGTTTCGCTACCTGGAAAGCCACCTCTGCTCCTCTCAGTAATGACAAATTATGAAGAGGCTGCAAGAGCAGCCTCAGAAGCAGCTTGAAACAGGCGCCCAAGGCTACGTGCAGCTGCGCTCTCAGGGAGAGGCTCGCGGAGTCTTGCTGCTGCTCCCATCACACGAGTTCTTGCATGTGCCACGTCAGACAGGACCAACACGGGGCCCCACTCCTCCCCCCCTCCACTGCTAATCCTATTTCATGTGGCTCAAAAGCTGGGCACCCAAAACCTGCTGCTTCGGAAAACCTTGGGCAGGGTTAGTGGTCCCTGCTGTGGAAGCAAAAGGAACAAAGCAGCCGCACCTGCGAAAACCCCAAGGCCAATCATGAGAAAAAGAGAGGCACGTAACCGCAGCCGACTGCAACGCCAAAGCCTTTAATTATGAAACCGAAGACTTGCAAACTTGTTAGGAGCATGAACTGACCTAGGAGACACGGTGCAGCGATAAAGCAGGGAGCTGACTGTCAAGATTGCTTCAGCAAGTAGGTCCCTGCTATTTATTACTTGTATGGCTACGGACAAGGAGGGTTACGTGTAGCGTGTACCGCCAAAAAAAGATGGCCCTTGCTCCAAAAAAATTAAGCTGAATGGTATGACTTGTGCTTGGCAGCGGTTAGCAGGACACACCAAGGTGGTTGTCTCAGCCTGGCCGGTTCACCAGCGTTTCGACTCCTAAGCTGTGAGGACCAGCGTGGGCCCGAAAGGGGCTGCCCTGGGGAAGGAAGCCCCCAAGGAGCCACGAACCACGGCTGAGCAAGTCGGAGCCAATAGGAGAAAGTTATCGAAGATCTCCCTGGCCCTGAAGAAAGCTAGTAAAGATCTCCATTGCTCCACCGCACCGGCTACAAAAGGCAGCTGCAGTGCGGTGGCAGCTGCCAGGACGCCACGTGTCTAGGGGAACGTACGCCGTGGTGGTGATCAGTATGGTTTATTCTTAATGTCATTTCTGCAGGCTCAGCCGTGCTCTTAATTTAGTGCCTCGTCCGCTCTCCTTAGACCGGTTCCAACACAACCCGCCGCTTTTATCACTGCCGCTTTATCTTTCACTCTTCAAATCACAGCGCTTGGACAGAAAACACCTGTCGGGTCACCTTGCTGCAGCAATACCCGCAGGCTGGGGTTTTTTGAGGAAAAGACCGATTTCTGAGGAAAACGATCACATTTAATGCTGCAAGTCGCGCGGAACAGTTGTCCCCACGGTGGGATACCAGCAGACACCAGATCAGGAAGAAACACCTCTTTTTTTCCAAGACTCCCGACCTTACACTGTACTTAACAGCTTTTAAAAATTCAGAGAATATTTCTAACATTTAAA